TCTTAAAGATATTAAATCTTATATGTGTGTGTTACTAATATTTTACTCAGTTTTATTGTATTTATAATTGTTTATAATATTTATTTATGGGCATTTTAGGGTTTTATGTAATCTCTTATTTTATGAATTTTGCCTGTGATACATTGTTTCAAAAGGCAGTGTTTACCAGGTGACTTTTAACACTACTATGATTTAAGTCTGAAATTTATTTTTGCTATATTTTGTCAGGAGGCATCTTACTTTGTTTCCCCATTTGTATGTAGTCTTTATTAGCTACTTCAGTGATTTAAAATTTTTTTCTTTCATAATATGTTAATTTTTTTACACATACTGAGGTCTGCTTTTGAACTTTACATTTTGTTACATTGGTTGGTCTGTCTTCATGCCTGTACAGTATTGTTCTAGGTCGGGTTTTTTTATTTTTTAAGTGGGGGAGAGGGGTAGAGAGAGAGAGAGAATCTTAAGCAGACTCCACGCCCAGCCATGAGCCCGATGTGGGGCTTGATCTCACAACCCTTAGATCGTGACCTGAGCCGAAATCAAGAGTCAGACCCTTAACCGACTGAGCCATCCAGGCGCCCCTGTTCTAGTTGTATTTTATTGTCTGTTTCCATATCTGTTGGGAGGTAATTTACCTACTTCTAAAAATAAATTATTTTTCCTTATTTTCCTTAAAGAACCAATAAATAGCTAAAAGTAATTGATAAGAGTCCTTTAATAGCCTCATTATTCATGGGCTGCCTTGGGCTCAGGTCATGATCCCAGGGTCCTGGGATCAAGTTTCGCATGGGGCTCCTTGTTCGGCAGGGAGCCTGCTTCTCCCTCTGCCAGCCACTACCCCCTGCTTGTGTGTGCTTGCGCTCACTTCTGTTCTCTCTCTCTCTGGCAAATAAATAAAATCTTTTTTTTTTTTAAGATTTTATTTATTTATTCATGAGAGATGGAGAGAGAGAGAGAGAAGCAGAGGGAGAAGCAGGCTCCCAAGGAGCAGGGAGCCCGATGCGGGACTCGATCCCAGGACTCTGGGATCATGACCTGAGCCGAAGGCAGACGCTTAACCATCTGAGCCACCCAGGCGCCCAAATAAATAAAATCTTTAAAAAAAGAATATGAAGCACTGTAATAATGAACTGAAATAAGTCAAAATTTTAGAAATCTAAACAGAATCATTGCCAAGGAATCTGGAGCCTCAGTTTCCTTTTCTCCAAGCTCTACTCCATAAGCTGAATGAATCTATGAAGGAATTATTCTTTAAAACTTCTATTCTATAAAATGTTAAACATTACCCTTTTATATGTACTCTTACTTCTTGATAGATTATCTTTAAGAGGCAGTCTAATGTAAGTTACTAAGAACATAGATGTAAAGACAGGGTGCCTGGGGCCAGATTTGTACTTTACCACTTTTTAATTGTGTGGTTTTGAGCAGGTTATTTAACTTTATATGCCTCAATTTCCTTAACTGTGAAAGGATAGAATGAGTTCCTTACGAAAAGCACTTAGAACAGTGCCTGGCACATGTTAGATCTTTGTAAGCATTAAATGCTGTTTTTATTCTGAATCAATATCCAGAAATCCTGTTCATAGAATGTGTAAATTTGCATTTTTTGCATAAGCCTGATAAGGATAATTTGAAACAATTAAGTCATTACCCTCCTCCCAGAATTTAAATGTGAACCCATTTTTAGCTAGAAAAATTGAACAGCTGAGTAAAGGGGGTTTTGTTGATAAGGGCATATTTACGATATATTTATAATTGTAACTAAGGAAGCAACTTCTCTAAATTTTAGTTTCAAATCCCATTTAGTAGGATATATCAATTTTTAGTCGTTAAAGGGATATTGTGAGTTGTAGAACATAGAAGGTTATTTGTCTTTATTTGACTAGTGAGTATAGGCAAAAAAGTTGTACAACTTGGGGTGCCTGGGTGGCTCAGATGGTTAAGCGTCTGCCTTCGGCTCAGGTCATGGTCCCAGGGTCCTGGGATCGAGTTCCGCATCAGGCTCCCTGCTCCTTGGGAGCCTGCTTCTCCCTCTCTCTCTCTCTCTCATGAATAAATAAATAAAATCTTTAAAACAAAAAAAAAAGGTGTACAACTTGTTTTCATTTCTCCTATCTTAAAAGAAATTCTAAGCCTTAAGTTTGCTAATGATGAGTTATTTTGGTAAGAAGTGAAAATTTTTTTGTTCTGTTCCTTTTTTGGAGTATGTGTATATATTTATTTTGTTAACTGCATTTGTTTTTCTGCCCAGATCAAAAACTTATCACATTGTTAAGCCCCCAAGTAGGAATTAGGTTATAAATACTTAGATTTATTTTCCCTGAGTTAGTCTCTATTGGTTAATAGTCAAAGTAAGTATGACAATGATTAATAATACCGAATTTTACTGTGTACATTCCTGGAAGCTCTTTCTATAGCAGAAAACATAATCATCTCCAAAATTAGCAAATCTTTCCTTATAAAGATTTACTGATAATATGACTGTCTAACCATTTTAATGTAAAAATAACATTTCTCCCTTCCCTTCCAGGGCATGTGGTGGTCCCTTGTCTCTTCCCCCCTTCAGCAGTTAGGGATTTTTCACAGCTGTCATTATTGATTTGCATTAAAGTATCTACCTAATTTGACCTGGCTTCCATTGTGACTAGTGATTTATACCCAAGAACTAGCTGACGAGTTTGTGGTATATTTTCCCAGCACAAAGTTAACTGGCCAGTTTGGCAAATGAATTCCAAATTGATGTTGTCTTCTTTCTGAAACCCATGTTCTGTCAACTGAGCTAAGAGTTAAATGCCCATAAAGTGAATTAATAAAACAAAATTCCAGCCTTCTAAGGCACTGTATTTATAAAACATATAAATTCAAAAGCATTTGGTGAAGCTGGAATGGAGTAGTAGTATTTGTCTCTTTTTAACTGGGTGCATGTATTAATGGTGATAAACATATAACACATTTGTTAAAATGTTATTTTTCTCTTTTTTTTTATTTAAGATTTTATTTTTAAGTAATTCCTACATTCTTGAACTCACAACCCCAAGATCGAGTTGCATGTTCTACAGAGCCAGCCAGGTGCCCCTAAAATGTTATTTTTAAAAGAAGTTCTGGGGGTGCCTGGGTGGCTCAGTCAGTTGCGTGCCTGACTCTTGCTTTAAGATCAGGTCATGACCTCCAGGTCATGAGATTGGGCTCCTCCCTCACTCAGTGTGGAGTTGGATTGAGATCCTCTCCCTCTCCCTCTGCCCCTCCCCCACTCACTCACTCTTGTGCGCGCGCGCTCTGTTTCTCCCTCAAATAAATAAATTTTTAGAACAAAAGTTCTAAAAAGTCAGGCAAAATGAATAAATGATTGTGACATGATTAGAAATCCTGCCATCTTGGATTATTTTTGTTTTTATTTATTTTTTCATCCTGGATTACTTTATTCCCTTTATTTTTTTTAAAGATTTTATTTGAGAGAGTGCAAGAGAGCACAAAGGGGGAGGGGCAGAGGGAGAGGGAGAAGCAGACTCTCCACTGAGCAGGGAGCCCAATCTGGGGTTTGATCCCAGGACCCATGAGATCATGTCCTGAGCTGAAGGCAGATGGTTAACCGACTGAGCCACCCACGTGCCCTCATGGATTACTTTATTTTTATTTATTTTATTTTTTTATAAAGATTTTATTTATTTATTTGAGAGAGAGAGAGAACAGAGGGAGAGTGAGAGGGAGAAGCAGACTCCCCACCGAGCAGAGAGCCCGATGCGGGGCTCAATCCCAGGACCCTGAGACCACAACCCGAGCCGAAGGCAGACACCCAACCGACTGAGCCACCATTTATTCATGAGAGACACAGAGAGAGAGACAGAGAGAAGCAGGCTCCCAAGGAGCAGGGAGCCCAATGCGGGACTCGATCCGAAGGCAGACACTTAACCATCTGAGCCACCCAGGCGCCCCTTCCTGGATTACTTTAGATGTCTGTTAGTCAGAACTGAACTGAGATACTTGTGTTGGTCTGAGGAGCCTTTTAGTGGGCGTATTGACCATTCTGGCTTCTGGACATTATCTGTGCTATTATTTGGATAATTTTACATTAAGTATCCAGTTTTGTTTAAATATTTATTTATTTGAGAGAGACAGAGAGAGTGAGAGAGAGCTTGAGCAGGAAGGAGGGGGAGAAGCAGACACCCTGGGGAGCAGGGAGCCTGATCCCAGGACCCTGGGATCATGACCTGAGCCGAAAGCAGACACTTAACCATCTGAGCCATCCAGGCACCCCTATCCAGTTTTGTTTAAGGAAAAGAGTTAATTTTATAAGTTTCTTGAATATAACTTTCTATGTTTATTTAAAGATTTTATTTATTTGAGAGAGAAAGAGAGAAAGCATGAGCAGGGGGAAGAGCAGAGAGAGAGGGAGAAGCATAACTGAGCAGTGAGCCTGACATGGGGCTTGATCCCAGGACCCTGAGATCATGACCTGAGCCAAAGGCAGATACTTAACCAACTAAGCCACCCGGGTGCCCCATAACTTATAAAGTTTATTTAATAAATAATTATATAGCACGTTGTAGTATTTAACATGAACCAGATATTATTTTATAAATATTAATTTTTAACTTTATATACAACTATTAAAATGTTTTATATGAATTGTAGAAATTTGTTAATTTAGGGGTGTCTGGATGGCTGTCAGTTAAGCATGTGACTCTTGGTTTCGGCTCAGGTCATGATCTCAGGGTTGTGAGGTTGCGCCCTGTGTCAGGCTCCACACTGGGTGTGGAGCCTGCTTAGGATTGTCTCTCTCCTCTGCCCCTTCCCCCCTGTAAAAAAAATTGTTAATTTAGTGTTATATTTCTCTTAGACAGCAGAAGTATGCTTCCTGATCCTGCTGTGTGATAATACTGACTTTGGGTAGTATCCATTAAATAATTAAATATTAAGTCCATCAAATTATATCCATAAGTATAACTAAAGTAGAAATTTAAATTAACATTTTTAAATTCCCTTTTTCATTTTCATTTCAGCTTTACCAACAGGGACGCTTATGTCAACTGGGCAGTGAATTTTGTGAATTGGAAGTTTTTGCTAAAGTATTGAGAGCTTTGGATAAAAGGTAAAATTACTTTTTCTTAAAAATTATGGTAAACTATACATACCTGAATTGTACCATTGTAACTTCTTAAGTTTACTTCAGTGGCATTAACTGCATTCCCATTGTTGTGAAACCATCAGTACCTTCTTGTTTTTTGTGTTCAAGAGAAGGAGATTGAATTCATCTTTCCCATTGTAGCTGTTACCATATAGTAAGAGCCGCCACATACAGGTATAGTGACACAACCTTTGATCATACTTGCTATTCTCTTTAGCAGTCTTCCCGAAATTTGCTTTAAAAGCCATTTGTTTTTCCTAACCCTAGGAAAATAAGAATGTAGTTTTTATAAAATATTGCTGATTTCTAATATGAATATTGCCAAGTTCCATTTGTTCAACAAATTAAGTATATACTTGTTGAATGCCTAGTATGTGTTAGGTTTAGGTACTGTTCAAGATGCTGGGATTACGGCAGTGAATAAGATTACAACATCTCTTCCTTGTGGATTTTTTATTTTAGAGAAGAATGATAAAATAGTAAACAAGTAAATAACATAATTTCACTGTTCAGGGGTAACTTTGAAATGTGGCCTTTGTACTATAGAGAAACTTTTAGTTGAATAATTAAAATTAATCTGTAAAAAAAAAAAACAAATGAGAACTTCATTTTGGTAAAAGAAGGCTACAGAAAAACTTTTTAAAAACATTCTTTAAGAAAAGATCAGCTTTCTGGGATTTGAATTTCTCTATACAATTCTAAACATGGCCATTGTAAAGATTTAGTGGAATACCTCTCTTTCATCTCTCAGGTTATCTTTCACCAAGTCCAAATCCCTTGGTAAGTGTTAAATATATTTGTGAAACTAAAAGCATGTAGTTTGACTTTTTCCCCCATTATCCAAAGCAGTGATGCCGTTATTTACAATCTTTTTATTTAAAAATTTTTTATTGGGATATAATTCACATACCACCACATTCACCATTTTAAACTGTACAGTTCAGTGGCTTTTAGTGTATTCACAAGGTTTTGTAACCATCACCACTGTCTAGTTCTAGAACATTTTCATCACTCCAAAAAGAAATCCTGTACCCATTAACAATCACTTCCTATTTCCTCTTACCCTGGACTACTATTAATCGACTTTCTGTCTCTGAATTTACCTATTCTAGACACTTCATATAAAGGGAATCATACAATATATGGTCTTTTGTGACTGGCTTCTTTTACTTATAATGTTTTGAAGGTTTATTCATGTTGTTGCTTGTATATCAGTACTTCTTTCCTTTTATGGCTGAATAATTTCCATTGTATGAATATACTGTGTTTTGTTTTTCTAGTCATTTGTTGATGAACATTTTGACTGTTTGGCTATTCTGCTAATGCTGCCATGAACATTTATGGACAAGATGTTGTGTGGACAAATGTTTTTAGTTCTTTTATATATGTAACTAGGGTATATACATATGAACACCCTATGTTTAACTTTCTTAGTAACCTCAAAACTATTTTCCATAGTGGCAGTACCATTTTACATTCCTACCATCAATGTATGAGAGTTCCAATTTTTACATATTTTGCCATCACTTAGAATAGTAATCACATCCTATAAGGTGTGAAGTGATACCTCATTGTGATTCTGGATTGCATATCCCTAATGATTAATGATGTTGATCATCTTTTCATGTGCTTATTCGTCATTTGTATATTTTCTTTGGAGAAATCTCTATTCAAATCCATTCCCCATTTTTAAATTGGGTTATTGTTGAATTATAAGATGATTTGGTTTTTAAAAGTTAGTTTTACTCTTTACTGCCATTATTTTACACATACAGGATCACTCAGTAATCTACTGAATAAAGATATTAGGCTAAATTGTGGATTATTGTAGCCTCATAATTCATAAGGCAAAAGGTTTTTTATCTTGTTCCGTCTTGGAAAATAATGGTACTGTTATTTTTTAAAAAGCGAGGTAGCACTTTCTAAAACTATAAAATATGTTACCTTTATGAAATAGCCTTTTCTTATCTTGCAGACATTTGCTTCACCATTGTTTCCAGGCTTTGATGGATCATGGTGTGAAAGTTGCTTCAGTCTTGGCCTACTCATTCAGTAGACGGTGCTCTTACATAGCAGAATCAGATGCTGCGGTAAAAGAGAAAGCCATTCAGGTTGGCTTTGTTTTAGGTAGGTAATCGTAAAATAGAGGAGTATTTTGTCCTATAGTATGACTCGTATTAAACCTACTAACAATAAAGGATACAACCAGGGCATTCCCAAAGTCTACATAAGGAGGTTATGAGAAAAACATCAGAAAAATTAGGTGTGATTTATTGGATGTTAACTTTGGGCCAAACGCTACAGTAGGCATTTATTTATTTATTTTTGAAGATTTTATTTGTTTATTTGAGAGAGGAGCAAGAGAGCACAAGCAGGGGGAGCGGCAGAGGGAGAATGAGAAGCAGGCTCCCTACTGAGCATGGAGCCTGATGTGGGGCTCTATCCCAGGGACCTGGGATCATGACCTGAGCTGAAGACAGACGCTTAACCGACTGAGCCACCCAGGTACCCCTACAGTAGGCATTTAAATGTTATCTTGGGGGAGGGGGCCGGGCAGAGGGAGTGGGAGAGAGAGAATCTCTGTGCCCCTGACAAGGGACTCAGTCTCACAACCTTGAGATCATGACCTGAGCTGAAATTAAGAGTGGGACACTTAACCAACTGAGCCACCCAGGTGCCCGTAAATGTTATCTTTCTAAATCCTCACAACATTTCAGTATTGTGATGGCATTAATAGCACTTTACAAATGAGGAAGGATTCAGAAAAATTAAGTAACTTGCTCTAGGCACAGAGCTGGTAGTGTACTGTAAGTTTAGACTCCTGTGTCTTTCCATCCCTACCATATATTTTGCTACGTGTCATGCTGCCAGCAGCCTCTTTCACCGGCTTACCATATGCTGTGACATAGGACTTCATCCTTTTGCGGCCTCAGTTTTCAGGCTCTAAAATAAGAGTAAACTTGTATTTCCTCACGGGGGGATGTTAGGAAAATACCAAAAACATACATGGGAAAGGAATCTGTGAAGTCTTTATATGTTACATAGAGAAAAATGTTTACGGTTTATATAATATTTTACATGCTGTTTACAAATCTACATAGATAAGTACATTTCAGGCAACTACTTATTAAAGTTGTTGCTACCCTTCTTGTTTTCTTTAAAAAAAAATTTTTTTTTTAAGATTTTATTTATTTATTTGGCAGAGAGAGAGCAGGAGAGCACAAGCAGTGGGAGCAGCAGAGGGAAAGGGAGAAACAGGCCCCCTGTCAAGCAGGGAGCCGGATGCAGGGCTCGATCCCAGGACCCTGGGATCATGACCTGAGCCGAGGGCAGATGCCTGGCGACTGAGCCACCCAGGCGCCCCCAGACTCTCATGTTTAACTTCTCACTTGCATGTGCATGTTTTAGCTCTTTTACACGTGCACATATATTTTCTTTGCCCAACACATTTTCACGATCATTTCGTTTAGTCTTAGAATAATTCTTTGTATTCATAGTTGCTGGAGGAACTTCAGAACTTTTTTTTCTACAAAAAAAAGCCACTCAGCATTTATCCTTTGGTAGCCCCATGGAATATAAACTGCAACCAAGAATTGTGACCAGAGAATGTCTCTAACAAGGGAGTGTGATCTTGATGAATGTTAAGGTTGGCATCCCTTTAGTCCTAGACGGTAGTGTAAAAATCTGTGGGAGAACAACTTTAGAATCAATAAAAATGAAAGGCAGGAAGGTTAGTGTTCATTGAGGTCCTCTGTCATCTCCACAAACATTTATTATATCAGTATCTAGCCATTGTAACAAGCCAGACTGAAGAAATATCTTGGCGATAGAACCAAGTTCTAACAAACTCATAATTACATTTTTGGTCTGGATCCTAAAATTACCAAAACAGTGAAAAAAACTTCATACCAAAAGTATATAGTGATAGAGATAATTTTTTTAAAGATAGCTTTATTGAGATGTTCTTTGAAATTGGGTATGGAGAGTTGAAAAGTTACGTTTACCCTGCAACTTGAAAATGTTTGGATCATTAGAATATATGGCTAAATAACTAGAAAATGTCATTTCTTAGGCTATGGAGTGTTTTTAGAGGGTTAAAACTCTTGACTCCTTATTCAAAGCCTCAACTTTGATCTAATTCCCTCAGTTTAAAAGTTTTTGTTTTGTTTTGTTTTTTATTTCACAGTATCTTTATTTTGGGCCAAACACAGGACTTTAATATTATGAGTGTTTTCATTTTAGATGATACTCATTTTAAGCATGTCACTTTAGCTTTTAAGTGATTTATTAAATTATTTAAAGTACCTGGTTTTCTTGTCCTTTAGGTGGCTTTCTTTCAGATGCAGGCTGGTACAGTGATGCTGAGAAAGTTTTTCTGTCCTGTCTTCAGTTGTGTACTCTACATGATGAGATGCTTCATTGGTTTCGTGCAGTAGAATGTTGTGTGAGGTAAGTCGGAACAGATCCTACTGTAATGGTCCTTAGTGGCTTTTATAGTTTTAGCTCTTACACGCCTACTTGAATAAACCTCTGCGGTGATATTTATATGTCACAGTTTCATTAGTCTGGACTCCTGTCTCTCATCTCCAAAATATAGTTAACTTGCTATAGTCATCTTAGCGTAGTATTTTTTGCTTTGTCATAGAGCTTGTGTGTTGTGTTCACTCACCAACTGTTTATCGAATGCCTCAGTGTACTCAGAACTGTACTAGGCACCGGATGCTGGTAAAATAAATATATGTTTTCCTTGGGTGTCATTTTTTTACCCTTGCTGTTGACATTTCTAGAATTGTGTATAAGAAGATTAGGATTTTACTTATAAATAACTTTTCTTTTTTTTAACAGATGTACTTAAAGGAAAGGCAAGCAAGTCTAGAAGTAACTCTGTTTTTACTGTCTTTATTTTTTCTATGCATGTAACAGAAAATTATGAAGAGAATCAATATTATCTACAATCCTATTACCCAGAAATAGCCACAGTTATGGTATTTGTGTATTTTTGGAATTTTATTGTGTTGTTTTTATTAAACTTTTTTAAAATAATTTTTATTGTTATGTTAATCACCATACATTACATTATTTTTGGAATTTTAAGTGTGACAACGAACTTCCTGAACTGGTGAGGGAAAGACTTGATTCTAGATTTAAAAAAAAACTCTGAGCCCTACACAATTGAATGTCCTAAAACCAAAGAATACAGAGAAATTGGAAGCTAGAAGATAGTAGAAGTATCTCCGTTATTGAGAGAAAACACTATATTTCACCAACTTCTGGGTAAAATAAAGAATTTTCAAATATATAAGGATGCAGTATACTTCCATGTATTTGAGCTGAGGAAAATACTCAAGGAATTTCTCTAACCAAATAAAAGCTCAGTAGTAACACTTCTCAAGATAGGAGAAGATACAGAAATGGTGGTAAGCAGTGAATATTGTAATATATAGTTACATGTAAATGAAGTAGAAAGAGAGTGAAGAACAAATTGGGAATTTGTAGTATGTCTTAAGTAAGGATTTTTTTTCAAACTGGAAATGAAAGGGAGATTTTAGAAATAACACAAAACAGATATTCTCAGTTACCACATACTATAAAATGTCAGGTAAGATTTTTTTTTTCCCTGAAAATGAACCTTTAGTAAAGAGAGTTGCCTTAACGAAGCCCCTCATGTAATGTGATGTTCTTTTAAGTGTATCATTTTGAAAAACACAGTACTGTTTGAGAAAGAAATGTTAGCCTGAAAACTCAGCCAGTGCCAGTGTCTGGAAGCTCATAGAGACCACCTGCACAATTTTCATTTTGAGGGAATAATGGGATTTAACACATTCAGAATTATTCTGGAGGTCATAATCTTACAGTTATGTTAGATATTTCTGTTAACTGCCTTTTTAAAGTTTATGGGTATTTTCATAATCTCTATACCCAACACAGCGTTCGAACTCATGACCCCAAGATCAGCAGAGATCAAGTTGCATGCTCTTCCAACTGAGCCAGCCAGGCACCCCTTAACTGCCTTTTTTTAAATGCTCCTTTAAAACGGGATGCAATAAGTGGTTTGGTTGTAGAGATTGTGGATATCTACTTGCCTTAGGGGTTTGGTTGTGGAGATTATGGATATCTACTTGCCTTAGGTGAGTCAGAAAAGCCCAGCAATTTTAATGCTTTGCAAATGGTTATGGTATTTTGGACAAAATTTCTGGCAACATCATACCAGACTCAAAAAGTGCGGATTTTCAAACAAGTAAAAACATTTTACCCTGAAAAACTGTTAGATGACTCAAAAACTAGTTATGGTGATGATGAAGGTAAATGTTTTTAGATGTATGTGGATAGTTTGGATAATATTACTTCATAAATTGCAAGGAGAAAAAATTTAAAAATTTTTTAAATTTTTAAAAATTTTAGATTTTAGGTAGGTATATATAACATAACATAAAGATGATTTAAATATTGGAAGTTTAAAAATGTTATCCTATATATCCCTAATACTTGATATTTTCAAGTTAGCCAAAAAAA